TTAATCCTTCAGGCTTAGAAATTAAGGAACCCCCCACTCTCTTCCTGCCACTCCCCCTATTTTTTTAAACGATACAGCGTGTGAAAAAAAAAAACCCTCAAACAAAGGTGTTAGATACACCCCACAGAACCCTAATCTCAGGATAATTAGAATTGTGTTTTTTTACTTGATATTTTCTAAATTACTCATACAAACGTGTTGCTTTTGCAAAATGTAAAAAAAATTAAATTTTACAAAGAAGAGCAGATAATGTGAGGTAGGATGGGCCTGGGTGAGCCCTGAGGAGGGCTAGGGCTGGGCCTGCGCTGAGAGTGGACCGAGGGGACAGCTGGTCACTGTTGTCTGAGGCTCCTCTGTCCCCACAGTTTCCCAACAGTTGGTGAGGGACCTGGAGAATCACGTGCACACAAGGGGCCTCCACTCCTTTCCTCCTCTACGCCCAGCTAGACGTGTCTAAGTACCTGCCTGGCATTTCAGAAGGAGGATCAAAGAATCTTGATCCTTGGCTCCCTGTGGGCCCCAGCTCTGCCTCTGCTTGGCTGTGTGGCCTTGGGCATGTGACTTAACCTCTCTGAGTCTCCGTGTTTCCTCTGTCAACTGCACTACCGCCTTCTGCACGAGGCTGGGTGACTGTGAAGGTTAAGCGCGTGGCACATGGAGGTGCTTGGAAATGGTAGCTCCTTTCATCTCTGCCCACGACTGGCACCACTGGGCAGAGGGTTCTTTGGCAGTGCCCTGTCATCTCTTCATAACAGCTCCCCTCTGGTGAACTGTCTTGTGGCCCAGCCTCCAGATTCGGGTCAGGCAGGCCTGGTATAAATTGCCCCCCTGAACACCTCCAGAGAGCAAGATGCCATGCAATCTGGGCAACCTGTCCTGGCCGTACTTAGGTTCACCCGAAATCCGGCCTCCCTCAGCCACAAAGGCTCATTCTTGGGGACAAAGCACCATGGCTGCAGCCACTTACATTTTGGCTTCGTAGTCCTTCCACGCCTTCTCCAGCTGCTTTTTGGAATCCTGTGGTTTAAAAAGAACACTTTGGCCGAAGGAGTGCCTGGGGTTTGGAATCAACTAAGACGTGCTGCCCTTAAGAGGCTCCTGCTTGCATGCTCCCCTTAGCTGCTCAGGATAGACTCCCGCAGACCCCTGCTCCCACAGGCAGCTCTACTGTACACCTGGCCCCCAACCGGCCCATCCAACCTCATTTCCCAGAGCTGAGTTTCCTCTCCCATCTGCCCGCCTCCCACAGTTGCCAAAAATCAGTTGGGGTTCCTCCCTGGTGGCACAACAGGTTAATGTGCAGCACTACAAAGTTGGCTGCAGCCGCTTCAGCTCTAGTTCGATCCCCGGCCAGGGAGGTGACCCACATGGCGCGGCAGACCTCTCCTGACCCGCCTACTGCTCCCCTCAGCAGTGTACTTCATCAATCTGCCTGGCCTGCTACCCACTTTGTTTCTGGTGAATCTCTCACTGCCCCTGCACCTCTGACCACACAGTACCCCAGTTCTTTATGCATAAATAAAGTAAATCTTTAAAAAAATAAATAAAATGCCCTTCCCCTCACCATGAGGATGGAAGGACGAAGTTCAGTGCCCTCCCCTAATTTCCCCCACCAGTTTCTCCTCTCGGCAGGAAGGGACCAGGCAGAGATTGGGAGGCCCAGAAGGCTACCCCAGCATGCACAACTCTGGCTCCAGCCAGGCGGCTCACACCCTTCTAAACAGCAGACTTCCAAGGCGTCTCCTGTCAGCCAAGTGGAAAAGCTGCCTGTCTGGTTTGGGTGGTTTCCTAGGCTGCTGCCCGGTCTAGGGCAAGGAGGGGGAGCCCTTAGGGAGGGGACAGCTCCTCTCCTGGGCTTTCTGGGGCAGGCTTCCCAGGGAGATTACTCTGTCACCTTCTATGAGCTCCACTCTGCCCAGAGCAAGGCCCAGGAGCACAGAGACCAGCCAAGCTTGGGAGTCAGGACCCCTGGCTTCTGTACCCGGCCCTCCTCCCACTAGCTGTGCAAACTGTGAGCAGGTTACCAAATGCCTGAGCCCTGATTTCCTCAGCTGCAAATAGGGAGGCTAGTCTCCACAGAGCCACGCTGTAGGGCCACTGTAGGAATGGTTTGAGTTACTGCACACAGAGCCCTCAGCAGTCCTCCCAGCCCCGAGGTTAGTAACACTGGGTCAGCACTCCCACTGTGAGGACCTCTTCTCTGGCCTCTGGCCTCAATGCAGCCCTGCCCACTCCATCCTACAACCTGGACACACTGCTCCCCAAATGGAGACTTACCTGTCGTCCATCCCTCAGCTGCCCTTTCAAGAGACTGTCCAGGGGGAAAGAAACGATGTTGTTCAGGTTCTGAACCTGGAAAAGCAGAGGTCCCCCCACCCCCACCTTGGGTGAGTGGCTGTCGCCCCAAGAGGCTCAGGGTGGAGAGAGGCACCATGAGACAAAGCACAGCCCTGGAGGGAAAGGAGGCAGGGGAGACAGAGGTGAAGGAAGCGGTAAAGGGGAGACGGCCGCCTTCCATAAAAGCTGTTACCCCCTCTACTGGCCAGTCTGGCCGTCGCCTCCCTGATCCAGGTCACCTACGGTCAGTCCCACCTCCATTCTTTTGCCAGGAGCACCTCACCTCTCTGCCTCTCCAAGTTCCACCCCTGGTGGCCATCTGTTGTTCTGGCTACCCCTTGTCACCCCTCTGTGGGAGGGGCCGCCACGGAGGGCCTGGGAGCCCTGTGTTGTGGTCACGTGGAGTAAGCTCTGGAGCCAGAGCTGACCACCCTGGGGCTACTGTGACCAGATGGGACCAGGCCACGATGCAGGCAGCCTTTGATGCAGGCAGCCGGCCAGCCAGGTGGCCTCCAGGGATTTTTCTGCTGATGTTGGGGGAGAAAGACCATGTCTCTCTTCTGGAAAGATGTAACTCTGGGCCCACTGGGCCTACCGAGCATATCACAAGGAAACTAAGAAAGAGAAAGCACCTAACGCCAGATGCATGCCTGGACCTCCTACTACAGAAGCCCCAAAGTCCCTTCTTAAGTGTTTTAAAATGAAAAAACTCAATTTGGGCGGAGTTTCTGTCACTTGGGAACCCAAAATGGCCCAATATTTCAGCCCACTGTTAAAGGCATATTTCCATTTCCCCTCTTCCAGGAAGCCTTCCTGACTACTTCTAGCCCCTGGTCTCTCTTTCCTAAATGATGGTCAAAAACATGCAGACTCTGAACCAACCTTCTTGGCCATTGATGTGTGCCACGCTGCTGCTGTTGCTGGGTACTGTCCACACCCCAGCTCCCAGCTGCCCCCCCAGACTCAGCTCTCGGTGCAGCCCCTGCAGAATGCCCGCCACACAGCAGACCCTCCTCAAACATTAGCGCAACTGACATGGATGAGGAGAGGTTTAGAGGAGGAGATGGCGCATATTGTTGCATTCCAGGCCTGCTCACTGCTCTGCGGGCGTGAGGGTGTGTGCATGGCAGTGCTGTGCAGTGCTGGAATGACTCGTGGTGACATCAGCTAATTCACTGAGCGTTTACTCAGGGCACTTAACTTGCATAAGCCTCACTGCAACTCTGAGGAGGGGATTGTCACCGTCGCAGCTCAGGCACAAGGAGCTCACAAACCTGATGAGCAACAGTGGCAATTCAAGACCCAAGCTCAAGTCTGAGGTCCTGGTGTTTGACCACCAAGCAAACGCCTCTCAGATTCTACAGGGAAGGGGGTGTTAAGGGGGCTGGGGGACAGATTCTACTGTGAGGGAGCAGAACAGAGGGGGTGTTGAGGTTGGGGGGTGGATTCTACTGGGATGGAGCAGAGGGAGTGTTAAGGGGGTTGGGGGGTGGATTCTACTGGGGGGAGCAGAGGGGTGTTAAGAAGGTTGGGGGGCAGATTCTACTGGGGGGAGTGGAGGTGGTGTTAAGGGGGTTGAGGTGGATTCTACTGGGGTGGGAGGGGCGGGGGTGTTCAGGAGGTTGGGGGGCTGAGGGGTGTGGAGCCACAGCTGGAAGGAGGAGGCGCTCCTAAAAGGCCGGATGACCTGGTTTGTGCTGAGATGCTGGAGTCAAATAACCATGGCTCAAATCTGGTTGTTTGACCTTGGGGAGCTGCTTACCCTCATCCTAGTTCCCAGCCTACAAAGTGGGGACAGTGGGAAAGCCAACCTCTCAGAGATGTGCCCCACGCTTGAGCACTGAGCACATGGATGTCTGCATCTGGGGGTGACCTGGAGGCCAAACTGAGAGACAAGGGGAGGGCCATCATCTAGGAGTCCCATCAGGAAAGAAGCTGAGGCCACCAGGCTGCCTGCGGAGCTGGGGCAAGGCAGATCCTAGGCTCTGAGACAAAGCTGATGCCGTTGGGAAACGGGACAAAGAGGGTTGAGGAGAGGCACAAAGATGGGAGCCCCAGAGTCTGCCCTCCCGTCTCCCCAACCTCCTCCCGGGGCCCTTCCCTGTGCGGGCCCTTCCTCACTGAGGCCCTCTCTTGAAGACCAGGCCCTGAGTCTCAGAGGCACTAACTGACTCAAGTTCCATGGAAAGGGAAATGAACCCTTTCCCAGGTGGGTCAAGCCCACTAGACCCGCCCTGAGCCAGGCTGAGGCTGGGTGAGAAAGGAGCAGGAGCCTCACCAGGTTCTTGAAGAGCGCAGCCACCTCGCGGGTGAACACGGCCAAGTTCAGGAAGCCAGTGGACAGCTCGTGGCTATTTTGAGACAGGTGGCTGTTGCCTAAGGACTCCACGGCCTCTCGGTACTGCTCCTCGTTCTCCACATGGCCTGCAGAGGTAGAAACGAGTACAGTTAGCTACCAGGACTGCGGAGGGAATGCCTGGCCAGCGGGGGACGGGGGACACCCCACAGGCTCACTCACCAAGGCCGGAGCTGTGAATGACACGCACAGCCTTCTTTATCCTCTGCAGGATGGCCTGGTCTCCTTCCAAGATCTGGAAGCAAACAAGGACAGACGTCCCCAGACGCTCATGTGGGAGCGGATGAGGGTGCCACCATCGCGCCCTCCAGCTCTGCTGTGAGACGCCCTGGGAGACACCACCCCCCAGGTTCTCCTGGCATACCCCACCCAACACAAACCATCCTCTTCCACTCAGATGACACAGAAGCCACGGAACAGCCACAACACTCCAGGAGGCCCACAGACTTTGCCCCAACTTCAAGATGAGCTGAGTAAACACAGGGACTTGAGGTGGTGGTGTCAGCACAGGCAGACCTGGGCTCAATCTCGGCTCTGATACTCAGTGAGCCAATCTTAATGAGCCGTTAGCTTCCCTGAGACTCGGGGTCTGGTCTTCAAAATGCAGATGAGGGGTCTCCCTGATGTCGCAAGTGGTTAAGTCTCAGCACTGTGAAGCTATTGGCTACACAGCAGCATGAGTTCGACCCCGGCCCCACAGCTGACCCACATGGCGCAGCAGATCTCTCCTGTCTCGCCCGCTGCTCCCCTCAGCAGTGTATTTCAGTCAGTCTGCCTGTCGGCTCCCCACTCTGTCTCTGGTGAACCCTCTCACACCCATACCTCTGGCCTACACCTAGCTCTTGTATGCATAAATAAATAAAATAAATCTTAAAAAAAATAAGCAAGACGTGGATGACAGTATGTTGCTGAGAATTAATGGTTTGTTAATGAGACGTGGACATCGCTCGATCCCCAAGACCGAGACTGGGGAACACGTGTCCACCAAATCCCAGGCTCACTGAACAGCTAGGTGAGGACGGCGAGGAAGAGTGGGGATACCATGGTGGGTGGGGAGATGACAGAGGGTAGAAAGAGGGCAGATGTGCAACCCCCACTGGGGAGGGCTAGGGGTGACATCAGGCAACCCCAAAGCCTAGGGCTGCAGGACAAACATCAGATTGTGGGGAAGGACAGAAGACGCCACCTTGACCCACCTGATCCTCACCCTGAAACTGGAAAAGGGAAAAGTAAGAGATGACTAACTTAAGGAGTAGGGCTGCACTCCAGGGACAGTACTGGCAAAGACTGGAACACATTCAAAGACATTTAGGGAACTCCCTAGCAGGCAGATCCACGGGCCTTGTACACAGAAGGTGCTTAATAGTTGCTTATTGCACTCGTTATGGCTTAGGAAGTTCTGGGAATGGACACTTCGGAACGGGAATATGTCCACATTCTAGAGTCCCTCAGGGTGGCCACCCCGCCCCACAACACGATCCTCTGAAAACTGCCTGCACTCCGCTCCCCCACAGCGGCCCTTGCCATCTTTTTTTCTTCTTCTTTTTTTAAATAATATAATAGTTTATTTTTACTTCATTTTGTACTTTTTTTTTCATCTCAGTTGTAATCACTGTGGGTTTCCCATCACCGAGTCACCCATGTGCCATCACCATAATCCAGTGCACTTCCCCCCCCCCCTTTTTGATCCCATTCCCCACTCCACCCCCACAAAATGTCTCTGGTATATGCTTGTTCATTTTTCTTATTATTTTCTCTCCTGGTCCATTATACTCCTGCTATGAGTGACACCATCCGGTATTTTTCTTTCTCTTTCTGGCTTATCTCACTAAGCATGATCATTTCCAGCTCCATCCAAGTTGCTGCAAAAGACATGTGTTTCTCTTTTTTGGTTGCTGGGTAATATTCCATTGTGTATATGTACCACTTCTTTCTAATCCAGTCATCTACTTTTGGGCATTTGGGCTGCTTCCATGTTTTTCCAATTGTAAATAAAGCAGCAATAAACATGGGGGTGCAGGTATCTTTTTGAATCAGTGTTTTCCCTTGTCATCTTTTTAATTCTAGCCAGAGCTGGCTGGTCCAGGGTAGATGTGACAAGCTGAGCCCATCAGATTCTGTCTCCAAGGAACTTGGACTCTGGGAAGCCAGCTAATGAACTGAAAGGGCTGAGGCTGGTACATCTTTCCCATCGTGCACAAAGGAAAAAGAACATGGCAGATATGAAGAAAGAAGCTAGCAATATCCAGCAAGGCGGAAGCAAGAGCCTCCAACTTTCCAGGGACTTTCCAGACCCCCCACCTGAGAGGCCCCTCCACATTTCCTGCCCCTCAATCAAAATGCCCCTGCATCCACCCAACTAATTCCCTTCAGTACTTCAGCTAGCTTGAGAGTTCTCTTGCCTGCAGGGTGGCAGAGACCACTGGCTGAACCCAATGTCCACCTTCTTTTCTTCCTTAACAGTAAGAGCCCCGTCTTTGCATTCTCTGGGGACATGAGGGATTGAAGCATAGCACTATGAAGCTATCCAACGGTCACCACAACACAAGTTCAATGGGGCAGCAGATCTCTCCTGCTTCACCTGCTGCTTCAGTCTGCCTGTTCTGCTCTCCACTCTGTCTTTGGTGAGTTCTCTCACCCTCCCCCCACACCCCCAGACCTCTGGCCTACTCCAGCTCTTGTATGCATAAATAAATGAATCTTTAAAAAAAAAAAAAGGCAAACCCCCACCTTTTCAGATGGCCACTTGGCCACTCAGAATAAAGACTATATTCCCTTGCTAAAAGCAGCCATGTGACCAAGTTGCCATGGGATGTAATGGATATTTCAGAAAGTCTTTTTAAAAGAAACTTCCAGAAAGTTTTATTAAAAGAAAATGAGGGTTTAGGGGGAGGAGGAGGAGAGAAGGAACTATACAACTCTGAGAATGGCCCAAATCCAAAACACCAGCACCATCAGTGCTATGAGGACAGGGAGTAAAGGGATCTCACTTACTGCTGGCGGAAATGCAAAACGGCACAACCACTGTGGAGAGGGCCTGGCAGTTTCTTACCAAACCAGACATTCTCCTCCCATGTGACCCAGCAGTGGCATTCCTTGGTATTTACTTAAATGAGCTGATAACTCTTTTCCACACAAAAACTTGCACATGGCTGTTCCTAAAAGCTGTAGTCACAACCGCCTGACCTCGGACGCAGCCAAGATCTCCTTCAGCAGGTGACTAGACAAACAGAACAGTGTATCCAGATGACAGACTGGTGTTTAAGGCCGAAGAGAAATGTGCTCTCAAGCCACAGAAAGACGCAGAGGAACCGACCATAAGTGCACATTACAAAGTGAAAGCCGGCCGGTCTGCAAAGGCTACGTCCCGCCTAATTCCGATTATACGACCTTCTGGAACAAGCAAAACGTGGAGGCGTCGCAAAGACCAGAGGGGGCGGGGGAGGACTAGGAGGGGCAAGAAGGATTTGTAGGCAGCGAAAATACTCTATGGTACTGCAAGAGTGGACAGATGTCACTGCACACTTGTTGAAACTCACAGAAGGTGCACCGCCAGCAGTGAGCCCTGACAAAGTGAGGGTGACACTGAGGTGTGGGTTCAGTGGCGAAAACAGACGCGCCACTGCTCTTCCTGCTGTTCTCTGCGGTGGCGTCTGGGGCTCAGGCAGCCACCCTAGACTGCGGCAGAAGCCACAGGTGGTGGCTGGTGGAGGGCGGGGCAGAAGCCTCTCCTGTCCCTGGTGATGGGGAGCCGCCCTACCAGCCCGGCACCTTTCGGTAGTCTTTCATATGAAGGAGAAATAAACGTCTCGCTTGTGTGAGCCCTGTTATGCTGGGGATTCTGTCGCCTGGCGCTGAACCCAGCTCTAACTGGGGCAGGCAGGTGACACCCATAGTCCCCGTGGACTGTGTCTTGATGTCCTTGTCTGATTTATATGGGGAAAGCCCTTCTCAGCAAGATACTATACTTGTCTCGCTGCTACTAGCAACCACGGTTCACACAGCTAGTCCTTCCTTCACCTAGTTTTTGGGTACCAACTGTGTATTCACACTCATGTAAAGACACAATCTCAGCTCTCAGGGCATCCACATCTGGGGAAAGAAAGAGCCCAATAACTATTGTTAGATACTAACCATGCGATGTGATCAGATCTGTAGTGGAAGATGAACCAGGCAGGAGCCCGGGGGCAGGAGGCTCATGTCTGCTTGGGAGGAACAGGGAAGGCGTCCCTGTCACGTTTCACTCTGAGTCCTGGACAGGCAGGGAGGAGACTGAGATGTACTGTGAGGTGGCAGGGGTGGGGGTGGATGGGAATACTAGGTATAAACTGCTAGAGAACTGGGCCCTCTCTGATAGCAATGGGTTGAAGTGCAGCACTAAGCTAGCCACAGCCACCTTGGCACAAGTTCAATCCCCAGCCAGGGAGGTGACCCACATGGCGCAGCAGACCTCTCCTATCTTGCCTGCTGCTCAGCAGTGTGCCCATCAACTGCCTGTCCTGCTCCTCACTCTGTCTCTGGTGAATCCTCTCACTGCCCCTGCACCTCTGGCCTGTACCTCAGTTCTCTATGCATAAATAAATAAATCTTTTAAAAAAATTGTTAGAGAAGGGAGGCTTGCTGTGGGAAGAGTGGGCAAGTCGAGGTGCACTGCTCACTTGTTCAAGGCACTCATTCTGCAAGCATCTACTGGTGCCTCTTCTAGCCAAGCCCGGCCCTTTCCTTCAAGAGACTCATAGACATGCAAACACGCAGGTGCCCAGAGGAGCACAGGAGGGGTGAATTCTAACCCCCCTTTTCTTTCCACCTAAAAATCGTTCACACTAGGGGATAAATGACTAATAACATGTAACCTACTGTATATAACAGGTGTCTGCGGGGGGAGAGAGCTGGGTGCTGGAGGCACGAAGGACAGTGCCACCAGCCGGAATTCAGCTTTGTCTAGGGCCAGCCAGACCCGGCTGCCTCGATGACGTCAACGGGCTTCCAAGCTCACACCTGTCCTGGTGCTCTCTGGCTTACCTGCTTTTGCCCAAACCCTGCCCAGGCAATTTCCATGGGGCTTCTGACACTTGGCCTTGAGAGAAATCTAAGTGGCCGTCAGTGCTAAACCAAAATCCAGTACCTGAATGGAGCCCTAGCACCCAACCAACAATCTTGAATACTTCCAGCGATGGGGAACTCATCTCCTCCAGAGTTTGCATATTCTTCCTTAGGAAGTTCCTCTGTTTGAGC